TTTTTGATTTGCTAATCAAATCAATCTCGAGGGAAAAAAAGGTTTTAAAAAAAGAAAGAGCTACAAACATGAACTTCTGCCGACAAAAAAAATCGTACAGATGCAGGTCTGAAGCCCAAAGAAAAAAACCCGATACGAGTAACAACTAACTAACAAAAGAGCTCAATAAAACCGTAGAGCCGACCTAGATACACCTAGTGAGCCAGACAAACCTACTTTAGGTTTCACTAAACGGATCGTCAGGGAAAGTTTGGCCAAACTTTCCCTGACGATACGTTTAGGTGAAACCTAGGTAGGTTTGTCTGGCTCACTAGGTGTATCTATATATATATATATATATATATATATATATATATATATATATATATATATATAAATATAAAATAAAAAAAACGCTGGAGTGATGGATAACGGCCTGGATTGAGGTTTGACTTCGATTTCCAGTCGAATATATCACATTCACTTACGAGCTAATACACTTGGGAAAGGTATGAATCCTCTTCTCCCCGCCCCCAGCTATGGGTAAATTGCAAGACAAATACCCTAGAGTTATGGTATTGTTTTCACGCACTTTCCAAAGGTGACGCAAGTGGGATCAATTTCGACCCAGTCCGATAACATCAGGTAGCCGCCTTCTGACAAATCGTCCATGGTGAGATTCGAACCCGGGTCCCATTGTCAGAAAGCGAAAGTTTTTACCACAGGCCCATACATAAATACATGCACACGAATTTATACACATATAGATAGATACATCGATAGCTAGATGGCTATAAATAGATATATACGTATATTGATAAATGGATATATATTGCTACACGCACACACACACACACACACACACACACATATATATATATATATATATATATATATGTATTCATGTATTTATTTTAGGATATTACAACAAAAACGTGTAAGAATCGCTACACAATGGCAGTCATGTTTCAATGCTTAACGATGCGTCTGTTCGGGCGATTGTAAATTACTGGTGAGTGAACGATTAAATTGGTTTCATAAGCAAAATACATACTCATTTTTTTAATGTAAGATAAGGCATGAGAGCTTTACCCTGATCAACCAACCAAATATGCCCGACGTTAAATTCAAGCTAAGCAAAAAAGAAAAAAAAAATTTATAATCTTAGAAATGAGTCATGGCCAAGATTTTTCATTTAACGGCAGCCAGACATTAACTTAAAGTCTGATAAAAATGGTTACAATAAATGTAGACATGGGTGTGTACTCTATTCGTTCTCATCGTACCTATATATATATATATATATATATATATATATATATATATAGAGAGAGAGAGAGAGAGAGAGAGAGAGAAATTGTAAGGCTCTATGAAACGTATGATAAATAAAAATATTCCATTTGTCCTTCAGCTTATTCAATACTGTCCATGAAAAACGTTCATGAAAATATTTTTCAAAAAATCATACGAATATGCATGTCGCCTGTTTGGCTTCATCAGATCGAAGATGAAAAAAGGTGTTAGATGTTTAGGCATTTATGTGTGTTTAAAATAAGGAAAGAATACAATCTTATATTTTTCCCGGTGCGAAATACATAGCCGAATGTTTTTTCGAAACATACTTTCAAAACCATTTTTCCAAATTTCAATAATTTTTAACTCTGTTGGGATTATACGCCGAAATTTATATATATATATATATATATATATATATATATATATATATATATATATATATATATATATATATATATATAGTTCTATTGATGTGAATTAGTGAGCCTGAATTTCACGATCTTTGCGATCATCAGACAAACTGACGCAAATCGTGAAACCCAGGTCAAAACTCATATCAATAGAACTTTGGGAGTAATTTTTTATGTTAGTGTAACTACACGTTCGCACGAACGAGAGACGCTGGGATTTTTAAATTTTTGAATTTAATTTTTTTTCAGTCTAATCGATTTCATTCGGATTGTTTTTTTTTTTCTTTCGCATTTGTTAGTAGATATCCCAAACTGGAACAATAAAATTCTGCCTAGATTTGGAAAAAGTAATTTACTGTGGATGACCTTGAGATCAAGGCACTCTCGAGTCATTTTCGTCGTAATGAATTGTTTTCTCCTCTGATCAGAGTAGTCAAAATTGTTTTCTGTCATGTTATGTTGGGTAACGAGTCGATGACTATGAGTTACATGTCCCTCTTGTAAACATCCCCGAAACGTAGTGTAGGGCGGCCGAATGGACGGTACCCTATGATCATGTTAACGTCCATGATGTCTTTTGGTATACGGCCGTCAGTCATTCGATATACGTAACCCAGCCATCGAACACGATGTTCACAAAGAACATGCATGCCCCGGGAGTCTGTTTTGGCAACTTTGTCTCTCTATGTGATGCCGAGGATATGTTGCAGATAGCGGAGATGGAAGCTTCCCAGGCGTTTTTCCTGATTGATGTATGTTGTCCTGGTTTCGATGCCATAAAAGAGATTACTATGTCTGGAATACATTTAATTTAGTACACAAGGTTGTAGAAGTCAAATGACTTACCTGCTAACATGGCCGCCTTCTTGTATCTCCTTGGAAAGGCAAGACAACTAATTCTACCTCATTTTATAGGAGAGTACCTAATGCAGCAGGTGGATAAACCCACTTTGCTGGAATGGACCTGCCCAACACATTTGCATGAGTGGACTCTATTTACCCATATATCTCTCCATTAAATGACACAGGGCTGCATTTCAGCTTGAAATGACGATTCTTGAAGTGACTACACCACCCTACTTGTGTGTCAGAACACTTGCAAGCTAATCAATATTCTACAAAGTTCAGCTGACTCTTATCCCATACTCACTTGCTCATTCTGACCATCACTGTTTCTGATTTGGGGGCGGGTTTGTCAATTTCCATGTGAAGCGACATGTTCGTAATACACTCTTGTACAAATTAATTGAAACAACAGCTTTAGTTTCCTTTCTTTCACTATAATGTCATTTTAGACCTACTGGAGTGACAGGGTGTAATCGATTTCTGTTTTTTCTCAGATTAGGTCATTTGCAGTGGTTTGCAGTAATATGAATTTATTTTCGGGGTGCATGATAAAAATTTGTTTGGCCTTGATAAATATTGCCTGATCCGTCATTGCATCAGATTTTTATCACTCCCAGACACTATTGTCTCGACTGTCGATTAGTTGTCCTACGGCTATTATCTACAGTGGACGTTACTCCAAGGAAGTGTACGAAAATTGTAACGGCGCACAAACACACTAAGAAGCTTTACCAGAGAGCTAGTGGTTGTACTGCCTTGTTTGGCGTGATATCGATTAAAAAAAGAAAAAAAAGGCATGGTTGAACTGACTAATCAGCTATTGAGAAATAAATAAATAAAAAGCTTAATCGCAGTACGTTGTCTGTCATCATTAATTAAACATGTATAAATGAGGGATTGCTGCCTAAATACACAATATATATATATATATATATATATATATATATATATATATATATATATATATATATATTAAAAAACAGCGATTACAACTGATTTTTGCTAAGTGGGCAAGTTAGCGTTTTTTTTAGATCTGTCTTTGATTTCTGCAGATACTTTTTCCCGACCCCCCAGGGAATAAAGCCCACCAGACAAACAAGTGGCCATATAAACACGGTTTAAAGATTTGCTGTATTGAATGAATATATTGCGGGGAAAAAAGAGATTTACTCAAGTGAAAACGGATACCGGAGTGATCGGAAACGGAGAATACACACACACACACAGACACACGCGCACACACACAAACACACACACACATATATATATGTGTGTGTGTGTGTGAGTGTGAGTGTGTGTGTGTCTGTGTGCGCGCGCGTGTGTGTAGAGAGAGAGAGAGAGAGAAAGAGAGATTATCAATATTGCTTTTTCCAATTCAGATACAATGTGGTATTGTATAACTTAAATATGTGATTCTAGGCTTAAACCGAATTTTAAACAGCGAAAACGATAAATGAATTTATACTGTAACCTAAGATGTTTTTTTCAGTACAATGTTTAACATGACTTTTCGAAACATTTAACAACTGTCAAACACATATTCCAGACTGTTTATAAAACAATCAATGAATAGATTAAACAAGTTTTCAAACAATATCGTATAAGTGACGCCACGTTTAAAACGGGTACAAGGAGCAAGATCGCACTGGAAAAAAATGAATGAAATATTTATAAATTTTCTTTTTTTTACGAATAATAAATATTTTATAAACATTTTAAATACCGTTTCTTGGGCTGAAGGATATTTAAACCGTGTCGTTTCTAATGAATAATAGTAGAGTCTTGTAATTGGAGTCTTTCCTTGCAGTGAGTGCTGTAGTGTCTTGCTATTTTACACTATCATACCCTTTTGTACTTAAATATGCACTATCTCTGATACTCAGTACTTTTACCCATAAAGATATCACACCTTAAATATACATACATACACACACACACACACATATATATATATATATATGAAGAAATATACTCTTAAGGTGTGTTATGGGATAAATTGCTCAGCATCAGAGATAGAGCGTGTATATATAAAAGTGAACATTGAAGTCAGCACTTAGAGGCCTCTATGTGTTGGCGTCAATGTTCACTTTTTATTTATATATATATATATATATATATATATATATATATATATATTTATATATATATATATATATATATATATATATATATATATATATGTTCTGTTTATACGTTATTTTTATAGATACACTTCATTTGAACAAATGCTCTACTTTTTTAATTAAATATTATTAATTACATTTACCAAAAGTATAAAAGTAAGTAGACAGAAAGAAAGAATGTATGTATGTATGTATGTAGAAAGAAAGAAAGAAAGAAAGAAAGGAAGAAAGGAAGAAAGAAAGAAAGAAAGAAAGAAGAAAAGGAGAATATGAAAGAGAAGAATAAATGTGAAGAAGAGAAAACAAACATTTTATGAAAAATAGTAAAAAATATACCAATGAAAAATCAATTAAGATTTATTGAAAGAAAGAAAGAACGGAAGAAAGAAAGGAAGAACAGAATAAAAAAGAAAGGAAGAAGGTAGAAAGAAAGAACGAACGAAAGAAAGAAAGAGGAAAAGAAAGAAAGAAAAACGAAAGAAAGAAAAAGTAGTAAAAATGTAAGCAAATGAAAGAAAGAAATTAAAACGAAAGAAAGAAGACAGAAAGAAAAAAGTAGTAAGCAAATAGCAAGTAGTAAGAAAGTAAGCAAATGAAAGAAAGAAAGAAAGAAAGAAATTAAAAGAAAGAAAGGAAGAAAGAGAGAAAGAAAAAAAGAAAAAGAAACAAATATTAAAATAACAATGGTTAAAAGTTGGCATATAATGAAAGATGAAAAACAATGAAGGAAGGAAGCAAAAATAAAATGAAAAAAAAGAAAGAACAAGAAATCGAATGATGTAAGGAAAAACGAACAGCATGTGAAAAATGCGTGAAAGAAAGAAGAGGTGTGCAAAAATAAATAAGGACGCAAGCATAAAATGAAAGAAGGAAAAATGTAAAGACATAACAAAGAAAGAATTACGTTAGAAATGATTGAACGAAAGAAAGAATAAAATGTGAAAATGAACGTCAAAAAGAAAGAAAGAAGCAAGAAGTCACGGGGAAACAAAAAACAAGATATAAAGAAACAACGAATAAAATGCAAAAATCTAACAAATAAAGTAATAAGCAAGAAATGAAAGAAAAAAGAAAAGACAAAAGGTAAAAATAAAAGAAATGAAAGAATGAAGAAAGAGATAAATTGAAGTAAATAATAGAAGAATCCTAACGCAGCAGTTTCAATCCAGCAGACAAATCTTGGCCCCATTTTAATTACATTCAAAGCTGACACCATCACAAAAGCTTCTGTAAAAATATTACTACTATTTTCTGTTCAATACTTACAATGCTACTAATAACAACCACGAAAAAACATTAATATTATGTAGAAATAAGGATTCGAACGCTGATAAAACGATATAACTACACGCAAAAATAATGAGTAGCCCCCAAAAGCCTGCCTGAAGCAGTTTGTCTTAGTGTTGAAAACTATTTGTTAGTCGGCCATATTGTTTTTCTCCGGACGTCTTATGTTTTCTTGGTATTCCGCCATATTTGTTTTCATGAGCTGGAGGAAAATTCGGACGGTGAAGTTTTTGTGGTGGTGGTCCACGAATTCGCGCCTCGTCTATTTATTTCTGTTTCGTTTGTTCGTAATATATTTATTTATTTAGTGACGGTAATATTGAGAGATGGGTGAAGGTAGAAGCCTACAGTTTCATTCTGCTTGTTGTATAGCGTTCATTAATTTTTTTTTCTCCCCAGATCCGCTTCTTAATCTCTAACTGTAAAAATAACTTTTGGCAGAATTACATCGTAACCATGGGGAAAAAAAACAGGAATATGTTTATTTTTCGGGAAGAAAAGAGGCTTTGCAATGGGATATTAGAATCTTTGTTGGTAGCATCGTAATAATTCTGGCAAAATAACATGTTTTAGTTTTCTTTTTATTTGTTTGATTTGAGACGGGGTAGTAACAGTAGTAAACACAAAATTAACAATATCAAACAATGAATGAAATAAAAATGATAACAAACATTGCGTAAGGCTAAATTTTGTCTGTGTGTCCCCAGCTTGCATGAGTCGATCAAAACAACATAGTCTTTATCTTAATGGTATTTACTTCCAAATCCCCGCCAAAAAATATATTAGCAGCGTATGAGACATGCTCCTTGTTACTGGGGGAGCCCATGTCCGGAAATTTCATACCAATTTTTAATCGTTCATGTTGCAACACATTAGAACACATCAAATTTATCAATAGATATGTGTTTAGATTTCCAATTAGAGTACACTTCAAACTGAGAAAGAAAGTTGAAAATTAATTCGTGTCAATTTTGCATCCCTATGAAAATGGAAGATTATAAGGTGCATTTTAAACACTTGATTTTTTTTTTTTTACCATAAAGGAAAAAATGCCTCGCAAGCAACAAAAAAGATATGTTCTGTGTACGGTGAAGGTCCTTTAGCTGACAGAACTGTACGGAAGTGGTTTGCTAAGTCTAGAGTTGGTGATTGTAGACTTACTAGTGAAGAGCGCTCAGGCAGACCGCCGCCCCACTAAAGATGACGACCAAATCAAGATCATGTGTTATCCAAAGATCGTAGCGATTTGAGTACCCAAGCGTCACTGAATAATTATGGATGCTGGATTTTGAAGAATTTAGTGTTCCGACGTTTGCAATGTCTTGATGTGGTTGACATTATAGTCAGCCTCACATTGTCTTCTGATCTGAGTATTGCTGCCATATATGGTCTGGAGCCCTCGCTGTTTATCTTAGGGTCCTCGACAAAACTGCTCTCTATTACTCACCACAGAGAATCATCCCTGCCTCCGATTAGAATGTCTGACGCTCAACTCCACGAGAGCACCTCTTTGCTACTGTTCGGTCTGACATTGTCTGCTGACCTGAGATGGGATAAATACATTGAGTCAATAGCTTCGTCCACCGCAAAGAAAGTTGGCTCCCTGCGCTGCTCCAGGAAATTATTCTCGCAGGAGTCGATCCTTCAAATCTACAAATCAAACATTCGCCCTTGCATGGAGTATTGCTGCCATATATGGTCTGGAGCCTCTTCTGCTTGTCTAAAGGTTCTTGATAAGATCCAGCGATGGATATGCAATGTAATTGGCCCTGATCTGGCATCTCGTCTGCAGTCGCTCTCTCACAGACGTGCCGTCACCTCCCTCGGTCTTTTTTACAAATACTTTCATGGTAACTGCTCCGATAAGCTGCTTTCGCTGGTCCCCAGACCTCATAAATTTAAGCGTGCAACAAGGCTGTCACCTCGCTGTCACACTTTCACTGTCGAAACTGCAAAATATAGCCGTCTCTTCTACTCTAATAACTCCATGTCTCGCACTTCTCGCCAGTGGAAGTCCCTCCCCTTTCCTTGTTTCCCCGGTTAGCTAAAATCTCCAACTAATCAAATGTAATGTCAATCGACGTCTCCAGATGCCTTGATCTATCCCCTATCCTTCTCTTCGTCCTTTAATCTATCACTCCTCTTTGCTCTCGCTCCTACTCTCTGTAACCCTTGCGTGCTAGTGCCTTGCTGGGGTGAAACGTTTAATATATATATATATATATATATATATATATATATATATATATATATATATATATAAACATTATTTATTTTTATAACAAAATTTTATACCTTTTTAAATCATTTTTCTAGAATCTATAAATTTCTATAATTATAATTCTATAATTCATTATCATTAGATTCTACTTCTAGAATTCTAGAATTCAGTAATTCTAGAAATCATAATTATTTACACTATTTATATTGTTAGGACTGTTGTCTTAATTCTTTTTGTCATATTTACGAATTTTTTGCCGTTATTTATATTATTCGAACTGTTATCGTTATCTTCATTGCAAGATTCACAATGTTTCGGCCATTTTACGCTCCGGACTTCTTCAGGTCATTTGGAGAGTTGAGTTAAAGGGAAATAACCGAGAAGCGGCAGAGCAAGTGGAAATAGAACACTCTACCCCCGGTGGACGAAATAAAGTGTTCGGTTCGAAATTCCAATCACCTGAAGAATTCTCTCTCTCTCTCACTATATATATATATAATTAAGAGCAGTATAAGTGTAGAATTATATATATATATATATATATATATATAATTCTACACTTATACTGCTCTAATTCTATAATTTTACTTTTTTCTATGATTTTACGCGGGGAGACGTTAGTTACCGTCTTATTTTTTTCTTCGTCGAAAGAAGCGGAAATTTCTTTTTACAAAATTATGTACCTAAGCATCAAAATCTATTGAATATTAATTTCTTAAAACTATATCGAATTATTTAAAAAGGAAAAAATATTATGTTTGCTGAAATTATTATTATTATAAAATTTTGATAGTAGTAGTAGTAATTAGTAGAAGCAGAAAAAGATTTGGTTTTGATTTGTTTTACGGTATATCAACCTCAATGGGTTATTTAAAGCCGACAAAATTTTTATTGCTGGTAATATTTTTTTCTTCGAAAATTAATTGCAGGTAATATTTTTTTACCAAAAATGTATTGCTGTTATTAAAAAATATTTTTACACTTTTGTTTTGACCCCAGTTTGGGGGTTAACTATTTGCCCATAGCTGAGACCCTAACAGGTGCTACCCCCCCATCCCCCCGGGTCAGAGTGGACCTGAGAACACCAACAATTAAGAGGTGGTTCCGCGCTCCTCAAAACCTCCAGATCAGATGACTAGCTGTTGGATGTAGTTTATCGTCATACCCAGGACTAAGAAGAAGAAGGAGGAGGAGGAGGAGAAGAAGAAGAAGGGGAAGGTGAAGAAAGAAGGAAGGAAGAAAGAAGAAGAAGAAGAAGAAGAAGAAGAAGAAGAAGAAGAAGAAGAAGAAGGAGGAGGAGGAGGAGGAGAAGAAGAAGAAGGGAAGGAGAAGAAGGCGAAGGAAGAGAAGAAGAAGAAGAAGAAGAAGGAGGAGGAGGAGGAGGAGGAGGAAATTATTCAT